CCAAACAGGTACAGAAAACAGTCGAGAAAAACGCGGAAATGATCGGAAAAGTGAAGTAATGAAATGGGATCTAGGGAAGTTCACCGACTCTACAATTGATCGCCTATGATTTATTTATTAAAAACCATGAAACGTAAAAAAACTTAATTTATTTCATACCATAAAGCATTGTCAATATTTCTACAAAACTGAAATCTGCTGATTTTGAATTAATCTGCCTGAAAATGATGATATATGTACCTCTAAATTTCGAATAAAACAGATTTCATTGCAATAATTTAATTAAAAAAACTTATGAAAGATTATTTACAAGCAATGCATAATTAGTCATTTATATTATGTGCCACACCTTCTCAAAAACTCTAAAATATTACTTCTGTTATAATTCGCAACTACTCTGAAAAGTCTCAGCGCAATCCCTGTATTTTTTACGCACAGGGCTACCGTATTGGCCATATATATTGTTCAATTTAAAATGTTCTGATGCTCTGCTCACGCTGAATCGCTTCAATAAACTTCCAGATATAAGGGTGTTGTACAGATATTTGTATTCGAATCCACGATGCTACCTTTCAATTGCATTATTTCTCTTCGGAAGACGGTGTCTTACTCCTTACTGACAGTTCCACATTTCCAGGGAGAAGCAGGGCATTTGCTGTCTGATGCGTCGTTGAAGACGTCCAATCCAACAGTCCTCAAAGTAATCAATCAAGTGTTGTGCTTCTTCAGACATGTTATTACAGCTACCGCTAAGAAGCTAAAATGATTCTACCACATCTTCTGTTTGAAAAAGACCAACGCAGACAACAGTCGCATTCTCATAGGAAATTCGACGTCAGTTTCGAACCTTCTGTGAAGATTTTCTACCTGAATCCTTGGGATATACAATGCGAGAGATGCAAGAAACATTCTCGATGTCTAGCCCTTGGAAATTCTTGACGAATAGCACTGACTGCGGCAGGTTCGTGATCGGCCATAATTGTTTCTGGGGAGGATCGGGTTGAACCTGCAACCTGTTTTACTTGTTGCAATAACCCAACATATATGGCCTCGATACTGTCTTGTAGTAGAGCATACAAAAGCGGAATTGAACTCTTCACCTGAATACGATGGAGTCTATAGAGTTAGTAAAACAAATGAGGCGCTGTTTCAAAAGTTCCGTTCCCAAACCAATGTTAAGATGAGGCCAGTAAACGGAGATTTCTTGCGGTGAAAAATATAACAATTCTATCTTCCGTCGGTCCTGAATCAAACAACAAGAACGGTTCACCGTCTTTAGATATGTTGTACTCGTCGGGAAATACAATTTCCTCTTAGGTCATAGGCAAAGCTGGTGCTGCTTGTTTCCTTATTCTGATGTTTCAGATCGTTCTTTTAACACTGTCATTCAGAATATGTCCTACAGCATCTTGCGCAAGTCCTACAGACGCAACTAGATATAATATACTGGGGTGCTTCTGGGCTATTGATTGCTTGATCAAGTACAATATCCTCCATCTTCAAAGCTTATATATGAGCTGCATCGTGAATATGGCTGTGAACTCCCTTCACGGCCTCAATGGCATCTTCAGCTGTCATTATATGAAATCGGAAACTGTGATTATGATTCATCTCACACTTCCTATGTCTTGTGTGCTTGTTTTATTTGAAAAATAAATGACCTTCCACTAAACGTTTCTGT